GATGATAATTTTACAAAATATATTAAGAATGATAGATTACAAAACATATAATAGAGATTGCTCTTGTTTCTCTTAAAAACGAGACTGTCGAAGAATTTCAATCCATTTAGAACCTACTCTTTCTGCAAGAAACGTCGTCTTTTGCTTGCTCCTATTATAATTTTTGACGTCTTCTGTATATCATGTCAGGATAATGAATCACCTAAAACAAAGATCCTAAGAAAGCAGCCTTAAGCCAAGAGAAAAATCGTCTAATAAGGACGAAATCTCGTCGCTACTTTCTTCTTATTATTCGATTTATATTCGCGCTAAATAAAAGAGTTTAATATTTCATTCGCATTAGGGTCTCTCGCGTTCTCTCGCGTTCTCTCGCTAAAGTTTACGTGATAAAAGTGCAGTGGTTCTATAAGCGCGCGAAATTGCTGCGACGTGTAATTAAGTATTAATCGTGCAATTTCTATTTGAGCGACCTAGATTATTTTGCGCGCAGCTATGTTGCCCGCGTGTTTGTGCCATGTTCGTTTTGCGAAACCGCATTGTATGACGAGAGAAAATGAGATCGCTGCGAGGAATTTTGCGTGCCCATCTCATAAGAAATACTATGATAATCCAGTACAAGAAGCATTTTGATGATTCTGTACAAAATATTACATCAATTCGTTTTTTTAGATGCTGATATCGATATAGAAAAGAAAAACAAGGTGGCTGTATTCGTGTAACGGAATCCATTTGGTGTATCTTATTCACACGATATTGATCAACGTACATTTTTGACAGCAATATAAAATAATAATTCATTTTTTTTATTAAAAAAGATAAGCTATTTTGCTTACTAAAACAACACGTCGTGTGTCATCTATTATTCATTATTGGATAAACAATCTATACTACTGTCGTCGTGTCTCTTGAATATTTAAGAGTTTCCTTTAAAGTTTGAACAGAAAAGAGCGGCGCGTTTTTTTATCGCATTATTCTCGTGTTATACAAAATTTTATTAATGTTGCGTATCACGTTTCACTGTCTAATGCTGTACAACGTGCACATGTAATTTTCATTTTTTAAAATCTTAATCTAGAGTAATAATGTATTAAGCTTACATATGTAAGCCAGTTGTCGACCACTCGCTCCTGGCTAATTACTGTTATCGCTTTTAATCGCTACGTTCCAGTTTAAAACCCTCCGATTAAATGCGACGTTAACTTCAACGGGCGACAGAATGGCAGAATTTTTAGGCTCGGTGCATTAATTACAGGTTGTTAGGGCGATGCTTGCCTTATAATTTGCACGATACTGGACGGAAGCTCGAATTCCTTGTGCAGAATGCAATTATATAAAAATCGAGCAAAGATTCAGTCGTCAACAATCTTTGTTTTGTAAGTTAGTATCGATTCGTCTAAGGTAACGTACTTCGAGAAGGTTACACGTGATCGCGTTAGAGAGACGCATTGCGGATCGGTGAATTTTTAAAGCACGTATCGTGCCCAGAAAATGCAGTCGGAATATTTTTAAAAAAACTCTTGAATATTTTGCATTACTTAAATTTTTACTGTTAACCTCTTCAGACCCTATGTACATTGTAATGTATATCAAATTTGAAGGCAATGCCCGTTGAAATTATTTAATTCTATAATATCGACATCATCTGAGATCAGATGTACATAATAATGTATATGATGGAAAAATAGTTCAAATTTTGAAAAAAAATTAATTGTTTAGTATAAATTATTTATTAAATCGCCCTAGAATTTAATTAAAAAAAATTTTTGACATGGTTCCAATAAGATCAAGTTTGAAAAGGTTAATATTATCTAACGATTTACAATTAGTGCATCTTTCCTTTAATATTCATTGTCAACAGTAATTACAATTACAAATTTATCTACTTAATGACATTGTCTTATAATAATATTTTTAATCTACTTGACATATATTTAGATTCACATAGTGATATTTTTAAAGATTGAATTAATTTTTCTTCAAGCTAAATATTCTATTCTGTTCAAATTACCATTTTTCTCAATCATGATAAAGAATATTCTAAAATTATGTGTAAAATGTATACACAAAAAGAGCACAACTTTTTTCTCATATATGTATAATTTTCGATTGAGTTTTAGCTTGAGTTTTAACATAGGTGCAAATGTACATCGTCCGAGAAAATCTGCGAATTCGTGTGTGCGAAAGAGTAACGTAGTTGAAGATTTTAATTCAGTTTCAGCACGTATAATTATGCACACGGCAAGAAACTTCTCCTTCGGGCTCTGCCGTATCCGGGATCTTAAGCCGCTTAGTTAGCTGTAAAATAGCGAGGCTGCAGCCCGAGGGAACAAAGAAAATACGGATTATACAGGAACATTCGACGTTCACGAGACTCCTCCGTTTACCCTGCCAAAAGGGTTATTAAAACCAATATAACCGTGAGTATAATTACGTAAAATTTTGCGTAGTTTTCACCGGAGTCCTGATACAAAGATGCGCACACGAATCCAAATTTTCGCGAAATGTGAATCTTTCTGATGATGCGAGACATCTTTACTGATATTGTACTTATTCTTTAAAAAGAATAAAATCTATTTTAAAATATATAATGCTGTTTCAACAGAAAGGAATAGAGAAGATTAGCACTACAGCATGGTAATTTCAGTTAAAGCTTTAGCCGGAGACATCCTACAAAGATAGTTAAATGATAAAGACGTATGTCGTTGCGATGCTGTATTCATAAAAAGCGACGAAATAATAAAAAATTTTGTTATCATGCTTCAACTTTTTATTATAATTTAAGTCAATAAGCAATCCAATTGAAAGTTTACAATATATTTGTCTTAGACTCAAAATTTTAATAAAGTTAATAATATAAATATAATTTCCAACAAATTTGAAAACAAATTTTTATCACTGACTTTACTATTAATCAGAAAAAAATGTTCAGATACTTTTCGGCGTATGTTTCTTTCATAAGTGTAATATTTTTATTTTTTTTCTTTCGATTTCTAAAAATAATATCTTTTCTTTTGTGTTAAAAGATTTAAATCCATATATCCAGACTAATTTTCTTAACATTATTCACTTTTTAATCTAATATTTATTAAATAAGCCCTATTAGACAATCTGTATATATATTATGATTAAGAGAGAGAGAGTGAGTGAGTGAGTGAGTGAGTGAGAGAGAGAGAAGCATGGAGTACTGATCAACTATTAATCCATGCGTGGATTAGCCGTGGATAATTTATGTGCATTAATGCCACTAAATACTGATGAGCGCCCCTGCCATATAAACGGTAGCGTATGTCAGTCAGTCGTAAGTTATACACACAAACTTAAGGCAGGATTGGTCGATTATGCGCGTATGTGCATGTTCCTACGTATGTAAAGCATTTTGAATGATTTAATGTTCGCTGAACGCCACACGGCGAAAGGTATTTTACTTAGAAAATATAAAAACAGACCAACGTGTATACATACATCATTCCTATATATATATATATATATATATCCATAATAAATTCCTAGCGAATTGTGTAGTAAAGACGGCGATATTTCTCGTTAAAATTTAGCAAGAATTTTGTATTATTTCGTCATTGAATGAAACATATTATACATGAATCATTGATGAATTTAAGATTTATAAAAAAATCACTTTTCCCCCATCGATAACCAACTACAATTTTTAAATAAAATAGATAAGAAAAATAGAAAAGTCTTTAATTTAAGACACGAGATAATCAAAATATTATTTTTGTACAATCTGTATTTATTCATTTCTTATAAAATCTGTCAATTCATTATGCAACACATTTCGCTGTTATATTCATAGCATCTCGAGTTTTATAACTCATAACGTTTCAAACTAATACCAGGTTGTAATCTTTTTTATAACGCGTTGAAAAAGCTGTCGAAACTTACTTATGGTGTTTAAGTTAACGCGTGCATACGAAATTGCCTTATGGTCGCCGCCTCGGAACCTTTATGAAACCTTGTTTTCTTTTATGGTGCGCGATGCCGAGATATTAAACGTCGATATGAAGCTGAGATCTCGCCGCACCCTCTCCGAATACGTGGACGTTTCCTCCTACGCGTCGGATTTATGTCCTCTCGTAAACAAAGCGTGCCCCTAAGCTGATTTAACGTCGATCCGCATACCGGTGTGTCAGTATCAGTTACGTGCCAGAGTGCGGTGAATGCAGTGACACAGAAATTAACTCTAGCGTCTGGTCCGGAGAGACTCTAGATTCGGAGGACAACATAGCGTATTCCCTCGTTCCTATTTCAGTTAAAACCGTCATTTCTCAAATAACGCTGAGAAATTTCGCATACAGATTCTGAATACTGAAGATATAAAAAGAACGAAGAATTGTTCTCTCTCTAAATATGAACGATAAAAATCTTATTTTAGATCGTAACGTGTGAGAACACAATCAATGCTAGAAATTAAAATACCTATAACGAAGCTAGATCTTTTAATGTTTAAATAATTAAATCTTGAATTACTATATATACTATATATGTACTTGCATATATACCATATTTGTAGTCATTCGAACTGCACGCCGAATTGTTTTTCTGGACTTATAAACGCAATTAAAATACTGCAGTAGGTAATATCACGAATAAAATTGACAAGCAATTTTAATAATTTGATGCTCAATCAGACATCACATTATAAAGATGTTAATATATATGTTGAAATATGAATTTAGAAGAACTTTCATAAATTATTGTGCAAATCTGTCTTTAGAAAATTTATATAAATTTTAAGCTTAATATATTCCGGGCATTTGCGTATTGAAAATATGCCAAAAAGATTTTATAAATCTACCACGTATATACTTCAGTAAAAGTGACCGTTGATTTAAAAATACGCAGGAAATCTAAATACGTTGGCGCTGGATTGTCATTGAATAATCCGAGAATAATTTAACTTAATTAGAATGTCAATGTAGATTATGGCGAATGACGGGAAATGCGGGAAATATATATGTGTATGTATAACAGATACGCACACTTTATGTCCAAGTTCAGTGGATTGCTCTCGCCATCGCCCTCTTGATTATTGCCGATGCACGTGTAAATCCCAGCTCTACTGCGAGTGACACTTTGCAGCACCAGGCTCTGATTACTTATTATCGTTCCAGTTGCTCTGTTGTGATATAGCGGATTGCCCTGCGAATGCGAAATCAAACGGAACCATGCTTACTCGGATTCTACTGAACAAACTCGCGAACGCAGTTCGGAGTGCAACAGACTACTTAAGCTTACAAGAGATATTTAGCAAACCGTAAATTAAAAAATATATTTAGGAGAAGAAAAAATAAAACGATATTCCTTTCTTTATAAAAATTTTGAAACACACTGGCAACACAATGTAATATTAAATAACTACTAACATGTAATAAGTTAGTACACTAACATGTATTGCAAATTATTTAACTAAATTATACACTTATTATTAATGCTGCAAAAGTGCGAGTAAAGTGTTCGCATGTTTTTTTTATACGGGCTAAGCTATAATAAATCTCGTATGAGAAATTTGCGACGAGGAACGCTGACAGTTTTTCGATCTCTCATGTTCCCTCGTCGCATGTGCAACTTCCGAGACTGTAAAAGCGGCTTTGAGTTTTCGCGAAACAAATTTCGAGTCTTTGAATCGAGGGAATTGATTGGAATTTACGTTTTGCGGTGTTTTCGTGTATACGACATTCGTTCGCGATAAGAGCCGTTGAAATTGCTCGAACAGATATCAAAGTTCGCAATAACTATAATGTTCTAACATATATAATATATTATTGTACTTCGAATATATTCTTAGAAATATTATCCTTTTATCTTCGATTCATCTTGGAGACATTTGTTTGAAATTTTTCAAACAAGCACTGAATTTTTTTTACAAATAATGTCAACTAATAAATTCTAAATTATAAGCTTTTAATAAATAAATGACTCTAATATGTTTGTCATTGCAATATTTGCATTCATTTATTAAAAACTTATAATTTAGAAGTTATTAATTGGCATTATTTATTAAAAAACATTCATCGCTGACAAATGTCTCCAAAATGTTATTATTATCGTTATTATTTATTTATATTAAGCAGACTGTTTAGATTAACAAAACTTTCTTTTTAGCATTTTAGTTAGTGACAATAATATAAATAATATTAAAGATTAAGAAATCTTGTAAAGTTTAAATAAATTTACTTAAAAGAGATTAAAAAATTTATTTAAAAGAATTATTTTCCAACTTTTTAATTTAATGACTATTAAATGTCGTGAATATGTATTTCAATAGTAGTAAAAGTCGTTTTGTATTGTAGAATTAAAAATGAATTTAGAATGATTGAATGCAATTGCTTCCCGGCCATTTAATTGCGACAGGAGATATCTTGATTTATATCTATGATTCATGTTGTGCTATCAGTTCCAAATCAATCGCGCCTATGACTTTATCATGGATAAGGACAAAACGTTCAAAACGAATGAATGAATTAAAACACACATTCGTGTAATGACGAATGATGTTCTTATTAATCGCTGATAAAATGGTTCGATTTATATCTGCAATTTGATCTATTTGCTAGTTACTTCCGTTCTATATCAATCACGTAAATCATTTTAACAGTGAAGAAAAACATTGTGTATTCAAGCAGTTTAGAATAAATTCAAATAGAACGACGTGATGTCAATGAATTATCACTCGTGTGGATGTTTCGATTCTATTGAGAATCTTGTAAATGCGCGGATCATGATATTAGTAAAGAAGAATCGTTTTTATGCGCGTAATATTTGTCAATTTTTAATCAACTGACACTACATCTCTAATTACCTTTCATCTCCTAACTCACGCACTGAGAGAAATGAGTTTGTTATTAGAACAAAAAGTGATAACAAATGTGATGATTTGGTAGGAAAACGAATTGATCAGTTACTATTGCGAATCATTTCTCATTATTCGTCGATATAACAAATACACGATATACAACAAATCACATATTGCTAAATCATTGTTCGTACCTTTCGCAAATAATCAGCATTGCTAGCAAATACAAATCTATCCAGCAGATACATGATTGCTTCTATTATTAATAATTGATTGGAATAGCAGATTAGCATTAGTCTACATCACAGAAGAATCCTCGTTTTCAATACCGATGTTTGTTGTCACTATATCTACAAATCATTTGTTGCAGGTACTGTTAGCTTGTTAAATTAACAAAATCTTTTTTCTCAGTGTGAAATAGAACATTAAAAAATTTTAATAAAAATTACATAAAAATTTTAATAAAATAAATAAGATATTTTTGAAAGACAATATGATACAGAAAATATTTTAAGGTGCATTTGGTCATGATATTTCTTAATTTCAAAATTTAGATCTCAGCATTTTTAAAATCAGAAACATAAAACATTCACAATCGATTTGCATGTGTAATAAACTGTTAAGGCCCGGTTTTTCATTTTTTGGTTAACTTGTGGTTAGACTCAACCTGATGTTTCATCCAATGAACTTCATTTGTGATGACGTCATGGATGAAGTCCATTGGGTGAAACATCAGGTTAAGCTTAATACAAATTAACCAGATAATAAAAAATTGGACTAAAAGTTATATTATCTCGATTATGGAAGGTCTAATTTGAGATAAAGAAAGTTACATGATTTTCCTTAAAATGCAAAGTGATTGAGAGAAAATTTAAAAAGCCTGATTGTTCTCCGAAAATTATTAATGTAAAATATCCGTTTTATATGCATTCTGCGCTATTTCGGCAATACGAATTCGAGATCAAACGCATGAGTTTTCGGACAGAAGTTTGTGTGACGCAGGTGCGCGCCGTTGTTCCCTTATCTCGACGCGATTAAGCTTCGTCGGCTTATATTATCGATTTCTGAACAGGATTCGTTATCTGCGTCCCGTGCAGTGCGCGTACTGTGTGTGGATAACTCACGTTATGGCGCCAGGAAACCTTGTAAACCCAGGGATTGGACTTGATGTTGCACTCGAAGTAAACGTCGATACCCTCCCGAATAGCGCTCGAATTCAAATTGCTGCCAAGCTCGAGGGTAACCACAGGCTCGTCTGAAAACAGAATCGACATCAAAGCTGAAGCGCACGAAATATGCCAATATGAGAGACGCCACTTTAATTACTGTAATTCACGTTATTAGATGTCAGCCTAAAGAAAAAGAAGAAGAAAAATATGAAAAGTGGACGTTTAAATGTGTGCGAAAGGGAAATTAAAACTTTCTCTTCAGCAGAACATTTTAATATTAACATCGATACTAACCGACAAATATCTGTTTGATTTATCATGCATGTAAATTATGCCAACATATAAAATTTTTGTCAATTATAAAATTAAGGATGTATCTGAGATACAATCGTTAACAAAAGTCCCCCAAATTCGAAATATTTGCATAACTGCGCTAAACGTGTAGTAAATCTAGTTATACCACTTACTTATATAAATGGTAACTTATATAAATGGTAGATAGTATAATATATTTATTTTTTAAAAATTATTTTTCACTTTTTCAATATTTTATTAACTTTATTTGTCATTTTTCAACTTTCTATAACAAAACATTATTTACCAGTGCAAAACGGAAAAAATAATTGGAATATGGTTAAAAAAGATTAAAAAAATTTTTTTTTATTGAATTCAAGGGCACTTTAATAAATAATTCATACTAAATAATTAACTTTTTTCAAAATTTTAATAATTTTTCCAATATATACATTAATATGTACATCAGATTTTAGATGGTGTTGATAAAATTAAATATTTCTGAATCTTCGTAGGTAATTCAACTAATAGGAAATTGTAAAAAATCATTAAAGATTGGTTTACTAATTAATCTTTTGTCAAAATATTTCAAAAGCTTTCGTTAATAATACATTCGCAGTGCGGATACATTTTTCAGCATTCTTGTAAATAAATCGTCAACCGCATCGAGTGCCGATTCATTTTCCTATTGAGAGACCATCGTCCGGTACCCGTTCCACGGTATTACTGTAAAAAAAAAATCGCATCCGTATCGAATGTTACTTATGATTCCTTTCGCGATAGCGCCGCGAATCCGATAATACCGATTCGCCGATTCGCGCTTACAATAAATGCGGTAAGAGTAAATTTCCTCTCCCATTCCCAGCACCGCCCGCCGTGGAATTACTGGCGGACTAATGGAAAAAACCGTAGAAAGACGAGAAAATAGGGCTGCCAAGGTAGTCGAAGTGGTGGAATACGCGGCGTGTAATCGGACTGAATCTTCAACGCGGCGGATCGGCATGTGCCATTAATTTCCACGCGTAGCTTCTCCCTCTCACATTCCCATTTTCTGTATCTCGTTCTCACTCGCTCGGATCGGTTAGAGGAAAACTTTTATATTGGACAGTGAAATCACGGCGTTAATCCTGGCCGGCTGCAACGTCCGACTGCGACGCTTCGCGGCGATTCGTCCTGTAACTTTGCGTATTAATGGCGTTGGAAAGTTGCACCGGGGGTGCAATTTGGACTACGGCGCGGACGGCATCGACATCCGCCGACGACATGACCGTTGGGTTCCGATTTCCCCCGCATGCCGATAAATTTGAAAGAATGCATTCAACAGAAAACTATAAACTTTCCGGTTATTGATATTTAACGACAGTGGATCGAAGAAAGTCGAAATTTAGAAAGACTGAAAAAAATTTTCGCGAAATAGCAATAATGTGTTAATTAGAAATATCTTTATTTTATTTATTTATTAAAAGTGCTTTGACTGCTGAGGAATTAGCTCCGCTTTCTCCTAAGTTTTTTTTCTAATACTTTTACTAAAAATGAAATAAAATTATACTAGATTATTTAACATTTAAGGAAATAATTTGTGAATTCATAATATAACGTAATCTCCCTGAACAATTGGTTACTTGGTGATTATTTTTTATAAGAAATTTTTAATGCGTATAGTGTAAGTTTAATATTCTCTTATTAAAACGAAGTAATCTTGTATAACAGTGTTAACTAAGAATTTCATAGGACCGTACATGTGAGTACACAACCAATAGAGAAAATAAGTATTCATTAATATTAACGGTAAGTACTTTCGTCGAATTTGAATTTTTGCCATTTAAATCAATGTTAATATTAAATTAAAGTAAAATAATTACGCACACACGCACACACTTGTACTTCTAAAAAAGTAAATTAATACTTATTTACACTTTTAAATCTTAAATTGCATTCCTTTGATATTTAATATTAAAATATTTTAATAATTTTTCAGAGGAAAAATCAGCTCAACCAGAAAATCTATCGCTATTCAAGCTCTAGTGTTATGATCTTTAAAATAAAGTAACATAACCGCTATGGATGTAGCTAGACTTGATCCCAACGGTAAATGTTGTTATGTTTTACGTAAACAATCTATCGATAGCAACGAGATCCAAAGTACAAAGAATGGTTTAGAGAAATAAATTCTCGATTGAAATTTTAATGTTGACTTTGTAGAGCATATGTACGATGGCATGCATACGCAATGTGCTTGTAAAAATATTACATTGATGGAAGTTTCTACTGTGCGGACATATCCGCGATGTGAAATTGCGGGGGCATCCCGGTGCGTTTCTGTGAAAATACTCACGGAATATATTGAGCTTCCATCCATCCTCTAACTCCGAATTCGGAATATCTGGCACGCCGCCGCGACAGTAGAGGATCTTTCCGGCGTCTTCGATACCCGGTACGAATGTGAGGATGCTGGTTGTAACGTTGCCGTCGGGACTCGTCTGCTGGAGAGATTTCATGAATTTAAAACAGTTTACCGAATAATTTAATAATCGCGATATGCACATTCCGAATCGTCATCGTGATCAGATTAGAGCCACTAGATGATTACGTTGATATTGAATCTATATATTAGTCAATTATGGCTCCAATATTCACATCTCTAAGACTTTTCATTAGACTGTTATATTAAGTAAAATATGGTGTGGTGTTTTCGAAATGTTTGTTTTAGAAAGCACTGAAAGAAATAAACACATAAAATAAATACATTAATTTTATTGATAAAACTGAATACATTGTGTAATAAATCGTCTTTTAACGATAGATGATAACGATATAAAATTTCCTGTATTTTTTATATTTTGTTTGTAAATATTAATAAATAAAGCTTTGTATGTTATTTTATTAGTAAATATTAATAAATAATTGGCTTATGTAACTATCGAGTTGGAGCAAAATTGATAACGCTACGAACATCAATATTCAAGCAGCTATAACTTCGTTAAAAATAAACGAAATTTATATATAAAAAAGAGGTTTTAAAACTTAAAATATCTATTTTCGGAAGGTCACTATGTTTTTTTAAGTTTCTGTGAATATTTGGTTTTTACATATAGAAAATTATGAACTAGACAAAATAAAAACTTTCTTTTCATTATGTTAAATACCAAAAAAACTTGTGAACATTTTCGACTTTCTGATGTGAAAACTTAAGAGATCCGGGTTCGACTCCCGGCTGAAGTAATATTTTTCGCAATAATTAAAATTTATTTACAGATTGTATTAAGTTAAGATCTCTCCAATAAATGTCTATTGAGCATCAAAATTTAATTTGTGATATTATTTCAGTAGTTTAGCTGCGTTTGTAAAGTCCGGAAAAATTTCGGCGCGTAGGGAATATAACTACAAATATGGTATATATGCAAGTACATATATAGTATATATTATATATATAATTCACATTTGAATGATTTAAAAAGCAATTAAGATCTAGCTTCGACCGGCATTAGGCCTTTAATTCATATTATTAGTGACTTAAAGTTTTCTCTACAAAATCGTTTTTAAAAATGTTCTTAAGATTTTTTACTATTGAGTTACCGCGGATTAAATTCTAATCTGATCACTCATAATTCTGTTAAAAATCATTGTGTACTGTAATTAAAAAAATGGATTTTAAAAGCTACAATTTTGCTTTATCAAATGATATAATTGCAAAAATGTTTAAAAAATTAATTCTATTGAATCATTTAATTCTAGCCTAATCATTTAATTGAATCTTTATTAAATTAAAATTTTGATGTTTTATATTTTTTTAAAAAATATTTTTTTTAAATATATAGACATGATAAAATGAAGTAATACTATGAACTTTTGTTTCAACCCAGTACACATTGCTGATTATAAAAATTGCAACATCTAGGAAGACATAAGTTATCAAAGTGATATCTATATGGCAGATTACATACTTATGATATGTATGATCAAATACACGTTGGAAGTATAGTTCGACATTTTTACATTAGAAATACAGCTCATTTTCATAGTCTATCATTCATTCTAAATTTCGATTTAAAATGCATTTCCATTGTTGCAACTTCAATAACTAACAGTGTATAATAAAATATCATGAAAGTGCAATGTTTGTGAAGAATTCATTTGTTTGAAGCAGCTTTTCGCGTACATATTGATGCAATCCTATCAATTTTCGAAATATAAAAGAATAAAAAATTAAAAAATAACCGCTGAAACGTTAGGAGGATCTTAGGACAAGTGTGTCATACGTGTGATTTATGAGAATGCATTGAATCATTGATAATGTATTTTAAATCGTACCGTCTCCCGTGCATTTCGCAATATCATGTTTCCTTTGGACCATGTGATCGTCGGGCTTGGTCTGGCTCCGACAACCTCGCAACCTATCTCGTAGGTCTTGCCGGCGCTAAGTGGACGGCTCTCTCCTTGAATCCGGACCCACAGCGGTTTTACTATAAAAGATTGTGTCACACTCGGATTTAAGCACCTATCGATCCGTGCACGGGCCTTGAAGTTAATAGAAATTTCTGCAGTAAAGACTGAATTCACTTCTCGTATAAATTATAATAACAATCGACACACGGCGATTTTTAAGCACAATTTAACATAGTAATTAAATTAAATTAATAATTATGAAAACGTATAATCACATCCGGAAATTGTGTATTTTTATTATATTTCATAATGTAATAAATTAATTATATGTATCTCCTTTTTCCTTTTTCATAATTTATTCAATCGTTATTAATAGAAATAATGATAAATTGTATTGTTCATATTCTTATTCAGGTAAAAAAACTAAAATAGAATATGTTAAAAAAGAAATTACCACTTTTTAAATTTATTTTTTAGATCGCAACATTAACAGTAACTCATTTTGTCGATACTCACAATTCATGTCGAGTGACACCGAACTTGATATCGGTGTCACCATGTTGTTGTTTGTGGCTTGGCAGGTCAGAAACGCACGCAAATGTTCGCGGCCTAACTTTTCCAATTGCAGCACGTTCCGGACCCTTTTAGCATCCACGGTCTCGTAACTGTTGTCCAGTAGAGAAGTCCCCTGCCACCATGTCACTCGTGGTTGCGGTCGCCCTAAAGAAACATAAGTTCAGAGCAGCGAATACACGTTGACGACGTCGATGCTGTTTCGCTAATGGCATCCGCTCGGCGTATAATCACATCTCGACTTAACAAGTCATCATATAGATAGAAATATGAAATTTTTACAGTAAAATTAAAATCAATAGTAAAGTTTTTGAAAGAATATAATTTCAAATTTCAAAATAGTGTAGTATATATATGTATATAAACAACATGGTTGCATATTAATATTTTTTGAAATAATCTTTTAAGAAAATCCTAAAGTGACAGAATTATCGACATAATAGATTAAAAAGAACTCCGAATTGACTGAATAGATTGTAAAAGTCCTTTTACACAATTAAAATAAGTACAAAAAAAGATGCGAGACGATCGATTTAATGAGAAAATCGAAAAAATTAAAAAATAACATTTAGTACACTGCAATTTTTAACTTTTTTTTTATTTTATTGTGAAATCGACCGTTTCATATCTGTCTTTTATGCGCATTTTAATTGTGTGTAAAACGATTTTACAAATGTACAGTTAATTCGAAGTACTTTTTAACCTGTAATATCGGTAATTCTGGCTTCATTTTAAAAAGTCCTTAAACATACATTTTGCACTACTGAAAAAATCTGATGCCACTCGTTTTGATAATAAGAAATTATTTCAAACTTGAGATAGAAATGTACACATATAATTAGAACACTTCATATTCACTATTTTTTAGTATACAAAGATAATATTTTTACTATTTTATTATTATTTAATACAGAGCAGGAGAGGTATACTACTTTGTAATATTTCAGTTTAATCTTTTTAAATGTAAAAAATAGAATATTTTACTTTTTAATAATATATAAAACTATGTCTTTTTTTACTATAAAATCATTACAATAAATGATTCATTTCGTGAAATTTTAAGTTTTGTATTGTAAAAAGTATTATAAAAAGTTAAATTTTTCAATAATTAAAAAGCTAATTTGATAAATATGAGTAACAAATAAATTTTGTGTACATTATGTTTTATTGGAAAAAAATAAGATTAAACAAAATAAAAAATTTTTTGAAAAAATTTCATTAAAAAATAAAGCAAAAATTATTTTTTAATCAAAGAAAATTTATTTAAAAAATAAAATATATATAAGAAACACACAAATATTACTGAAAAAATAAAAAAAGACTGCTAACGGATTAAAACAAGTAATAGGTAAATGTTGCAAATTAATTTTAAAACATTGCAAAATTCTTCATTGAAATTCCACAGTCAATAATTCAAAAATGTTTATTAAATTTTCTACAGTACCAAAATACTTTATTTTTTATTTTTACTCCACCACTATCCGATATTTATAACTTTGTTTTACCTCCGAAGGCGTTACTTCTTGTTCGAAATTCAAAACGTGAGACATATAATACATATAACACATTTGTCTGGAGTGTCAAAGAAATTGAGCCACATTCATTTTACGTAACTCAAGTACTGTAAGTCGAGGCAACGACATAACGTCTGAACATTATAGAAGGCGAACGTACTGGAAGTGCATCGACGTGTCATGCACTTACCACCGGCAGCGACACACGTGATATTGAGAGATGCTCCTTCGCTGTACGGACCAAGGATGTAATGGGGAATATGAGATCTTCCGTCTTCGTCCAATATGCTAAGCTGCTCCGGCGGTACTGTAATAATTTTCACGTTAAGAAGCTCTTCATTTTTCTTCTTTTTCGGAATGTCTACGACAACGCGAACACAGTGACTGGAGGGGGGAAGGGAGAACGAATCAATTTGCGCAACGATGTATCAATCCTATAATGTCACCTAAGAAGATGAAACGCTACTACAGCTGCTTTACGGCGATGTTAACAAATCTCCATTTAACGAAAATAAGATCCGCAACAAGAATCAGAGGAAAAAATTTTTGGAAATGTAATTAATACGTTAAAAAATGTGCGTTATACGTACAAAAAATGCTTTTAGTAAAGTTGTCATAAAACTGACACGAAAACTGTTCCAGGGAATATTTTTAAACTGCTGAATTTAAATCTAAAACGAAAATCTCTGAATTCAAAATGGCAATTTTAATCTGAATTAAACAAAGAATGTGAAAAATTCTAACGTAAATGTACGTTAGCCGCAAAAACTGCAAGTATGCGGACGGCGTACAGATACCTTGTTATCACGTAAAGTGTTAATGAAGTCGAGAGAATGGCGGTAATTATTGTTATCAATTTCACTCTCATCTCATTTTCGTAATAATACCAGCTACAGAAAAAAATTTAGATAAAGCTATGCCATATGATTATTCTTTTTTTTATAATATAAAAAGATTTTATATTACAAAAAAGAAAAGAAAAATTCGAATAAAATAGATATAGATATTTTACAGATATTAGATTATACTTTTAAAGATCGACTTGAGAAATGAATTGTTCGTGTATAGAATTTGAATTTTTTTCATATACTATATTTATCTTTTCCGATCGAAATCTCAACTTACACTCTTGTAAATATATATTATAATTAGCACTAATCTCATGCGTGAAAGAATTCGCGATGCCACTAACGTTAATATTCACATCAACGTGAAGCACAAGGTGAATCAATTTGCACGACGACGTATCTGCGCCATCACGTATCGCCTTTACCATTAAGGAGGGTATTATTCCGAAGATAAAAAATAAATTTTAATATACCGTTATGGAACGAAAGGACTCGGTATCTATCCGCTCGGTATTATCAGCCATGGTCACGTAACCGTTCTTCCATTAAAGGAAACGTTACTCCAACGCAATGCAAAGAAAAAGTTAAATGCAGCCGGTGCACTGTTTTGAGAGCGTGTGCGAGATGGTTGGATACTGGCTATTCGATGATAACGATGTCTATTGCATTAGATACGGCACGATGACCGCAAATATCAAATTAATCAATATAACCTCGGGGTGTATCATATAATTCCATATTCCTTCGGAATTCAATTATAAAGAATTTTCAACGATGAATTATAGATTTAATCGATTACAAGGCACAAAGGAAGGACTTCGGTTTTCTATTTGATAAATTTACTTCATGTTTTGTCACAATTTGAAATTTCTTGATATTGAATTTTTTCATTTCTGAATTTATCAAGCGATTTGAAAATGATAATTTGTTTTATTGTCATTGTGCAATTTCAGCCGATTTAAACTTTCAAACGTTCTGAAAGTTTAAATCGGCGTATGCAATATACAGCTGTTTATGAAAAATATCAAGAATACATTTTCCATATGTTATTGAACATTGTTTTTCAATACATAATTTTCTAAATGTTTTTAGATTGTTTATTTAAATATTGCTCGTTACCGGATTTATCAGATATACGTGCAGAAATAAGGAGTGATACGTATTCAAAGGAACGCGTCGCGGTTCTGAGAAAGTTACAAAGGGACGTGCCTTGCTTCCCTTTATTCAAGCACATCTTATATTCAGGTCAATGCGGGAATATCGTTTAGGAACTCACTGATGACCGTTAGATTGACTTTGCTGTTGCGCGTTGGCGACTGCTTGAAGTCGACTCTGCATCTGTAAACAGCTGCGTCGCTCTCTCGGACCTTTTCTAGAGTGAGTTTCGCTGGAGTTTCGGAGTGCTTAAAGAACGCGCGTCCTTCTAGGCTGTGATCTTGCCAGTGATTCCCTTGATCCGGACTGTCCCTCCCTCTCGTGTCGAAGCTGTAACAAAAATTAAATTAAAATTTTATGACATGATGCATTTATTTCGGAATATATACTTTATGAATCGTTTAAAGTCAACAATGTATAATTTGTTTGAATATTTTAAGATATTTTAAAATTAAATTTGGATAATGATCTGTGCCATTACATACTGCCTTTATCATTAAGGGGATGCTGGAGTGACCAAATTATCACATTACAGTCGTATAAAAATCTTCGAATTGATTGAACGGAATAAAAAATCCTTTTACAGGATTAAAGTAGACGCAAAATTAGGAGGTGATGCAGTGGATTTTATACTAATATCGAAAGAATGTTAAAAAATTTTTTAACTTTTTTTCGATTTTAATACAAGGTCCACTGTACCACCTCCTAATTTTGCGTCTACTTTAATCCTGTAAAAAGATTTTTTATTCCGTTCAGTCAATTCAAAGATTTTTATACGATTGTAATGGGATCATTTGGTCACTTCAGCATTCCCTTAAGAGGAGATGAAGAATATATGGATGATTGGATTTTATTGAACTTGTTGGAATTGTCATCAGACAATGTACATAATATATATATTATACAGATGAGATAAAATGCAGATCAGCAGCGGTGATTGTCTCACGTATAATATATACACTGTATTTATGATTTCGCGTTAAAGAACGATTGGAAGTTTGCCTATAAAAAGCTGTAAATAAGAAAATCTCTCGCGCCTCCTATTTTCCCTTCTTTTTCCTTCAATACTCACTAATGCGCGTCATCGTGTTTCTCGGACAGGCGGACGTATAGAGAGAAACTTTTATATTGCCCCTATTAAACTCTCACGAGACGGTCAATCGAGAAAAATGCCTCGACGTGGCGCAGTTACTAAAGAAAAGTACAGAGTCACGCAGGATTCTCGTAGCACTTTGCCCTCTAATGTTGGTCCTTTTACGCCAGCGCGCTGCCCTCGCAGAATTTCTATCGGCGAGAGGCGAACAGAAACGAAGCTAACTGAATTTATGCGGCGTCGTTGCTACAAAGAAATTTTCCAAAGAAATTTGCGACGGATCGGGGCCATAATGAAATTCCTCGGTAACTTTTCAGAACTCATTATTATGCTTGAGCAAAATTTTCGACGAACCTTGAACCCGGCGTATATATTTAACATTAAAACAGTAATTTTTCCTCGAATAAAACATTATTATCGCTCGTACAATGTGCATACAGGATGTCCTAGATCTCTAATTTTAATTAAAGATTTTTAAATTTCTTTTTTATTAAAATATTATCAATAATTTTTAACTTCAACAAATTCTTGTAAGTTGTGAACTAAATTTTCAATTGAATAACAAAATCTTAATATCTATACTTACAACAGATAGTTCTTAGTTTTTACTTTTAAGAATTTTGATTTGAGATATAATTATGTCAACATATTTCATGTATCGACTATTAAAATATTACGATATGTGATAATCTTCTGATAACTAATCTTTTTTTGAAAAAATTCAAATCATCTATTGTTAAAATAGGACTTGATGTTCCAAAAATATATTACATATTAAGATTTCAAAAACCAGTTAAAGCAATGTTAATTAAAAGTAAGTAATTGCTGCTAATTCATTCCATTAATTCTCCTGAATTAGATTTGCACCACAAGGAGGTCCAAAGCGAATGCGATATACCTACTCGAGGTAATAATTAACCGCTATAATTTCCTTATCTTCTCGAACGTATACGCTTTTAATGCAAGGTACAGTTCTGGGTACATCTCACTGCAGTTTCTGCGATTCTGTCAGCATTATTATACCATGGCGTCAGTTGTACGCCATGGCATTCTGTTATCACGGAACTTTTAAACGTGCTGTGGTCGACATTGTTTGCATATCAGTAGTCATATATTCCTTGGGATTTTGAATAGTCAACGTTCACACTGTAAACGTGCATAAAAGTCTTGTTCACGATATCTATAATAATTAATTCTCTAATCCCCTCAAAAAAACTAAACTGAAAAACTGAATCTACAAGCTAAACGATTAACAGAATATTGACTGAATATTAACGGAATAAAATATTTTCTACATTAATAAATATTTAATATTTTTCGTTTAATGTTATTAAGATCTTTTATTTTAATGATAATAAACTAATAATAATATTATTATATCATTAAAAATAATTTGTTTACATTATTGTAGTATATTTAGTCTTATTAATATTCTGTTTTTAATATATTTTAACCCATTAAGAACCGCTGGTCGATTTTTCGACCAAAAAAAAAGGTCAACTTTGGGATGCGAAATTTTTGGTAAGTAGGTGCTCCTTAAGGGCATAGTAGTTTGCCATGAAAAGGATTTTTAATTTTGAGAAAAAAAATTTGTCTTGGTCCTTAATGGGTTAATTAAGAATTACAGATGCTTTGGTTGCATTTGGATCTATTTTCAGTAAAAAAAAGAAAAGGTTCTAAAGATGATCCTACATTCCCTACATGTTGAATCACTAATCAGACGCACAATTAAAATCTCTCATCATGATTGGATAATTAGATGATCGTTACGAAAACGAGTAAAATAACCATGAGCATAAGATTATGACAAAATTCAAAAACCGAAAAGTTAAAGTCTATAAAAATATTGAGTAAAAGTCAAATAATAAAATGAGTGTCAGAATACAAATTTTTATTTGTTTATCATACTTTACATGTTCAATTTAAATTGTGTATTTAAAAAAAGACTTAAAGCTATTTTCCTTTTGGAAAGATTAATTTTTACTGAAATTTTAAGAAATGTTAATTGCGCTTCGCTCAGAAAATAAAATAATATTTATAAATGTTTTTACACATATTTTTTATTCTGGAAAGAACTGGCATAACAAAAACACATGTTGTATATGTTATATATAAATATGGATCTCTCTCTCTCAAACATGAAAGGAATTGATTTCATTCAAGGTGTGACGAATGTTGCTCGCTCGCAATGTTGCACCTGCTCAGGTGCGGGTGCATCCTAAAGCCGGAGAAAGGTTTGCCGCACAGAGCGATATATGTGCTGAGTAGTTTTCTGAAACCGGTCCTTGGAGGACGTTCGTACTTTTATATAACTCGCGCCGGTTCGCCAAGGCGAGTTACATCGTCAGCCGAGCGTGTGAACGCTTTCGCTTGTCCGAACGATTTTCTGCGTCTTCGATTTTCTGGAGCACCTTATCCGGCTTTTGCTAAACGGTCAAGCGATAAATAACGTTAATCAAAAGGGACACCGGGCGTCGTGATGAGACATATACAAGAGATGTATACAGGATATATTCGTTAATGAAGTATACGTTATCATCGGTTTTATCTTCAATTTCACACACATCTAGAGCGTTAAATTCATTTCGGTTATTATTGGAATTATTATTACTTCAAAGAATTGTTTTTATCGAATTTCGAAGACCAATTACGGTACAATAAAAGAAAAATGTGACAAAAGAAGGTACAACAATGTGTTTAAAAGCAGCCACAAATACTTTTAGTTTTATTGCCTATTAAGAGCCTATTAGATTTATCGCGTGTCGTATTTACAGGTATCGTATTTTAATTAAACAGACATAAAATGAGAATTATTTAATATAAGATATAATGTATAACAATTGCAATCTACCAAAAACAATTAATCACGACATTATTATTCGACATCGTTTACAAGCGTTTATCTCTCATGTAGATGTTTCAATAGCAACGAATAGAGCAATCGTATGTTGAACATGCAAGTACAAAGGACGTTGCAAACAGATGAGAGATGCACATCACGTACAGAACGTGTCACGCTTTTGCATTTCCTTTGTCAACGTTGTAACATTGCTTTGACTAGCCTTTGAACCATTATCGGTAATCTTCCCTAATTACATGCCAAAAACGGGTCAATCACAATCATGGATATTTTAGAATAAAAACTCGTTACAAGATACGACTTTTTGTGAGAGCATTTTATTACAGAAAGTCTTAAAATTGTCAAAATTCTTCACATTTGTAGATTCCTCAGTCAATTCTTGATTTGTTGAATTGCAAAAAGTGTTGCACGAAACATTTTTTTAGATGAACTATGAAATCGGTCCAATAAAGTTCAATTTAGCTCTTAATGTAATATTTAAAATATGAAAAAAATTGTTAAAAGAGATAATACCAATCAAAAATTTTCGTAGTTCAGGTACAAAAACAGTAGCTACTAATTTTAGGATATATCGTTAGTATGACATATGATATATATGCTATGACTTAAGGCAGCTCCAGATGATACGACCAATGTACGCCAACATTTTACGCATATTCGTTAAATATTGGTCTACAATCATATGGATGATTATGCATGTCATATACATATGTATGTGTAATACACTGTTAGATATAAAAGGAGTAATGATAATCTAATCCCTTCAATTAAATAACATTTTATTATTTTTAATTTCCATGTATGTTAAAATATAAATTAATTCATTTTTGTGGTTAGTTTCAAAGTAAACATCGTCCATTTAACGTATGCACTTAGTAAATACATTTAAACTAAATTTGAGTCAAATTTAATACATTTTCTTTAATTAAATTGTTTAACTTCATTGTTTTAGTCAAATAAGGACATATTAGGTAGGAACAGTGGCGATCTGTAGAAATAATTAAAAATAATTTTAATTGAGTATAATTTGACATTATAAATTTAACAGTGTATTTGCTAATGTTGGCGTACATATGGCTATGGAGACGCTTTTACATCTATTTCGTTTATCGTAAGGACGTACGATGACGAGTTTTCGTGCCAAGCCGAAGAAACAGACGAAGATAAATCAATTCGCGCGAAGATCGGGATAGAGGATATATCAAAAAACAAGACCGCCGCGGCGCGACGGAGTACTTCGTCATGAGAGTCGGGGAAGACTTTCAACTTAATAAAACCGCGAAAGTGCCAGGGGGATAACGCGATAGATACCCGGCTCTGCGCGTGGTGCGTGCCAGAAGAAATAATATCGTATCCATAATTTTTTTTCATCCTGGAATATCTTTAAGCTCAGGCTATAATTCATACATCAGAGTCGCCCAGAGAGACGTATTCGCGAGAGGAAAAGAGACCGAGGCGGGAGCAAGAGGACGTGATGCAGAAAGAGAAGAGGGAGGGATGCGGAGAGAGACAGGGAGAAATAAAGGGCAGCAGCCAATTCGCTATATGGACCACCCTAGGGGGAACACTCCGGCGCGGGCGCATGGATAGACGTACACTGATGTAAGTGTGTCACGGGGTTGGGTTGCGATCCTCCATGCGAGGAAAATATGGGATTCCTGGCTTCGCCTCGTTTCTATGCATAAACTGTGACATCGACTCGCGGAATAAAAGAATCGGATGGGCGCCGTTTGAAGAGAGCGAGGATGCGTGCCTTAATCCGAAGTTTTCTCTACGATCGAGAAACCGCTTCGATTTGAGATTAACTCTTTTCACGTTCTTTCTCTCTCTCTCTCTCTCTCTCTCTCTCTCTCTCTCTCTTTCGCTTCTTTTTCAATTCCAACCAGAGTACACATTAAATTGTAACTTAAACAACTTAATACGCTTACAGCGCTTGTTAATATTAATACTAACATGGTGAGGACTTCAAACTCCTGGTGTTTATATCAGTACCGCATGATGTTAAATTCACACTGCTATTTTTTAGACCGTAAGTGTATCAAGTTGTTTGATTTGAACTATAATTTAATGTGTACTGTTAATATTAGCACTAACACAGCGAGAATTATATACACCACATAGATGTTAGATCCATACCAGAGGTGTTAAATCCAATTGGTTATCCATACCAGAGGTGTTAAATCCAATTGGTTAACATCAATATTTTTTAGAGTGTAGATTTAAATTAATTAATTTATTACACCGTTCGACCCTTTCGGATTTATTACCTTACACAAGCAAACGCAGCGGTTTAACCAAATTACGTAATAATTGCGATCCCTTCTTCGCCGCGTATTAATTCTCATGCGCGTGATTTTGTGCAGACGCATTGATTGTGCGCATCGGTTGCCAAGCAACGAATACATTATCAAGATCGAGCGTTGTATGCGTGCTGTAACGGGATAATTTTGGCTATCTAGCATGCTTAATGCATTACTCTGCCATTTAGTTAATAACCGAACTAAAGCAACGAAACGGGGCAAACGAGCCATGCGCAATTTTCCTCCGAAAACGCGAGCACATCCGGTTCACAAACTTCAAACGCGATGCGTAAATCCACCGGTAAATATAATAAACCGACAATTCGCCAGCGAAGTTAACAGTACCGGTTGATTACGTTTCGGACCGTGTAATTTACAAATTAATTGTGTCAGTCATCGCAAAACACGCATGCGTCAAGCAATGACCCCGTCTATGCTCGCGAAAAGAGCTCGTGTACTAGTGCATGTATGTTATGCTTGCTCTCTCTTATTCTCTCTCTCTCTCTCTCTCTCTCTCTCTCTCTCTCTCTCTCCCTCTTCCTAATCGCAATGCATGCATTCATCGGACAGTTAAGCCGGCTCGAAAAATTCAGACACGAGGATTTGCAGTCATCGTATTTCCTACGGCAATTGCGCTTCGTTACGAGATATACGCGTAGCACTAAAATCCCCCAATGGCGGAATCGCAGTCGAAATTGCAACTGTGATGGCGTCGCGGATTAATTAGTCCTACGAGTACAATTGGCATACGTTAATTTTTCCTTTGACGTACCTAAGCAAACTAATATCGAGCTGTTGAGAGAGAACTCTTGAGCGAATTACAGACGTAAGACGCTTAACAGGAAAGTTTTTTCATTTCAATGAAAACAATTTCCTGTAATGCGCCGGCAGTTCTCAGAAAAAAGGTTTAACACGATAGAAGTGGATTAAACATCTATAAGATCCGTTTTCGTTGCGTTATCATTATCATATTTTCACCAATTATTTTATCTATTTAATAAGTTCGTAATAAATTAATCTTACGTGTTTTCCAATAGTAATCATATTAAAAAATTTATTTAAAAAATCTATAGAAAAATTTATAAAAATGTTAAAAAAAACATTGGAAACATAAAAGAATAATGTACTGTATAAATTTTAATTTAAATATTTTCGTAAAATAGAGCTGTGTAGAAATGATAACATGCTTTTGTAATTAAAAGAATATCATAAAATGCATTTTAAAGAGAGAATTTTTGAGACTTTTTAAAAATTATACGGAATGTCAAAATTCATATAATAAATCGTCACGGACAGCCGATATGCAGAATTTAATAAAAATATTGTACAGCGGAAATATTTTTATACAAACATGAAAATAAATTCTGCATACATATCGAATGATTTAAAACTATTAAATTACTGTAATCGAAAAGGCGTCATTTACATATGAAATAAATATAATAATAAATAGCAACAGTATAGTTGAAATCAAACTTATAAATTACATATAGAATAGATTCATCGTATCGGCTTAAAAGTATTTCTTCGCTTGAGATGCATGTGTCATGTACGAATAATATGCAACCAAATTTAATTAGATATACTAATTGTAAATACAATTCGACAGCGGTACTATTAACAATGATTATATTGCCAGGATCGTTTACATCGTTCATTTGATCGACGACCACATTAATGGTCGGTCAATTAACATATCTCTCAGATGCAATTCACTTTGATTTAATGAACGTCGAAGGGTTCTAACTAGAACATCGAGCGATTTTCCTGCAGTCCTCTGATATGTCACTTTCGCGGCGCGGAATGTAAATTATGCCTGTCTTTCTGTTTGAGAGGCATTTCCATTTGCGCGAATTAAGTCCAACGCGGAACAAACGGAAGAAGTTCGTTTTCTCAGCTGACTCGAGTATATCCCGCGCATAATCAGAACCTCGTCTCAAGAAATTGATAAATTTCATTCCAAAATAATTACTGTTACAATTAACTTGCCAGAAATATTATTTATGCCATTCTTTGGCCACCACACACTAAATTGTTATTATGAAATTATTTCGTATAACTTTATAATTCAAACAGTAAAGACCCTTTAAACGTTTCACTAAATTATATTATTTATTATATTATCCATATTATTAATATATTGTATAATACTTACATATGATATACGTATATTTACAAATTTAAGAGTAATATACGCATAGCTAATTTCGTCGGAAATTTCAAGAAGGATATTTATTATTTTCATTTTTAATTATATATATTTGTTATACTAATTGTGCGCTTATGTCGTGAGAGAATATCATTATGCGTATAAAATCGTAGGTATACTATAGTTTATACGTATTACTTCCACATGCTGATAAATGAAAAGGAATATAATTTTGTGATTCTCAATTACTATTCTACGTGTGTCGTAATGCATCTCATATTCCTATAATTTGTCTTTCATATATATATCATACGTGACATTATCATTCCACACACCGTAAGTGCTGCATAGCGATGTTAAATATGTGCAAGAGAACTATTGTGTTAGATATCTAAGCCAGAATATACGAGTATAAAGCACATTGTACATATGTATATAAAACTAAGGACTCAAAGACTAAAATTGACAAAGTGAATATAGCTTTTATGTATGTAAAAGTAAAAATATTAATAAAATAAATACAGTAAAAATTTTAGATCGAATCATTTTTGTCAGTGAAAACACCGAGGTAATAAATCATACTTTTCGTTATACATCAATCCAACTAATTTTTCCTTTATTTCTTTGTAAAGATAAAAACATTCGATTAAATCCAGTGCGATATTTTAGAAATTTTTGAAATAACGGATGCAGCAAAAATATTTAGAAATGGAAACTTAAATCCTTTATGCTAATTTCATCTAAAGTTAGATATCAAAATGCGAAATCTGCAAATAACTCACAGCGTCAAACGCTGTTGTAATAATAATGAGTACGCGATTTTGTATTCGAAAAGCAGGAACGATATTGCACGCGATCAACATAAGAAGAAAGACCGAGCGAAAGGGAGAAAGGTAGAGAAATGAAAGAAGAAGAATTTACCTGTATATCGGTGCATCTGCCTCCTCCTTATACCAAATAACTAGGTGCAGCTTGTCCCCCGAGAGTGGCGGTTTCACGTCGCATGGTAGCTGAGCAATTCCGCCTGCCACTGCTTCCGCATCTGTCATTGTCACTGTAATGACAAAGTCGGGTCGAGAGTCAGGCCAAGATCATATAACCGGAAAAACGTGGTCGGAATACACGCGAGCTGCAGAGCGCGACTAATCTGCCCCGTATTAATGGCTCGATTCGCGCCCGGTGATTTCACTCCCGCACGGCGGGGTTTAATCCGTGACGAGGACGGCGACATCGCGTCCTCGAGTTCACGAGATCACTCGTGCGCGATTTCCTTCTAAGCCTCGGATCTTCTCAAAAGATATCTCTGATATTTTTCCAGACTGTACTCGCGATTGTCAAGGAAGCGTCCCGGGAGTGAACATTTCTTTTCACTTCAAATCGGCACGTATCCGTACTGCATGCAGAAATATGAGAGACGTATTTCCTTGTTTCACTGATAAACGATTTAAAAAGACGAAACGTTCTTTTGAAACACATTGGCTGAAGAATTTTTTATTTCACAGCAAATATTTTAAATTTGTTTTAATTTTTTATCCAAACAGTTTTTTGAATGTTTGGATGATATATAAAAATTATGACAATATTTTAAATTGCTATAATTTGCATATTAAGTTCTTTAAATAATTTTTATTTCAAATATTTTAGATATAAAAAATAATTTAGGTTTAAAAAATCTTCTGTCTTCTAAATCTTAAAATATTCTTCTTCTTTCGCGACATTATAGTTCACGGTGAATCAAAGCCTACCTCTCATGATTTTTTCATAACAATGAATTTTTTCCGGAATTAGATTGTTAGCTTAACGTCCAACTCACAGCCTGAGGGATCCATAAACTGTAAGTTCCATATATCCACTGATATATGGAACTTATAATTTATAATGCCGAATCCGAACGGCGATAGTCTTAAGAAATATTACACACTTTAAATTTACTATTAACAGGAAAAGATATTTTTACATGTTTTATATTTTTTGTAGAAATTCTAGATATTTATGATAATTTCCTGCCGAAGATTATATGCTTTAATTTTGAAGATATTACCACATGATAAAGATTTCACGGTCAACGTGTTTAACGATTCTAACATTAACGACCATATTGTGGTCGAACAAAAGACTATATAATTTCCGCCATATAATAGCGTCAATTATAATAACAATGGGACAATAATTTCTACGGAAATGCAGAGCGCGTTCGAGGGCTGAGAAATATGTATAATGTAATTAAGATCATTAATCAAATATAATTGTACCAATTAATCATGATATTTTAACAGCCAAGTTGGCTTAAGACGTGATCTGAATATATAATTTTGACCAATAATTAAATTCAACAGAAAATATATACCATACTCGATGTAATAACAGATTCGCTTTTGATAATCTGTATAGTAGGGATGATCAGAACTTGTTGACACAGTTTTCACAATTTCAGTATTAGATTTTTTAAATAATTAATTATTATGATTAAAATATATTAATATGATAGAGAGAACCTTTCTTTACGTTTTCATATCAGTAATGATTCTGTAGGTATATTGTACAGTTTCCTTGCAATAAATGAAATATGAACATATACTGCATTGTAGTCAATCTGATATGTGGGATACATTGGTACACATCACGGTATAAATTGCATCTCTATGATAAACTGTATTAAATTATTAACAACGTAACAGAAAAGTAATAGAAATAAAAATCAGATAGTAGATATGTATTTCTTAGTAAAAATTGTATCTTTCAAAGTTATTTCGTAGTGATCAAATAGCAAAATGTTGTTACAGGAAAATAAATATAAATTATTTTAGTTCTACCTTGTTTTAATATAGAAATATTAAATATAGAGTGTTTTGTCAGAGTTAAGTTGTAATTGAATGTTCACATGTGTGATGTATTTTCTCTTTTTTTTTATTATAATATTTGTTTGATTTAAATAAAACTTAGGGAAAAGTACCTATATTATAAAAGAAATATTTTGCGATCACTTTTCCATTGTTTCTTTCGTTACAAATACATAAACGGAACGCAATGTCAACTTGCTTCTTATGCCAACAAGCCTCCATCGTCTGCCCTATCTCGCAACATTTTATTTCAATTATTTTAACTTATTACCATTATTATCGTTATATTAATTATATGTTATAAACTTTAGTTTTACGTATATATATATATATACATATTTTTAATAAATTTCTTATAAATTTTTTAAAGAAAAATGACTTATACAGACGTATACAAAATATAAGATAGAAAATATAAGAGAGTTTAAGTGAATTATTATTTTATACTTTAAATAATCTTTTTAGATTTCCAAAAATGTACACATGCATCTCCTGCGTTGTGTATAATTTTAATTTTCGAATAAATCGAATTCAACGTTTTGTTCTTTTATACTTGTGCGTATAATATAGCACGATTATCGTTGAAATTCTGCTGAAAATGCTTAATGATCCGGATGTTCAGTAGAGCGGGCGTTCAATACCTTTTGAATAGTGACCATGGCATCTGGTTATAATTAATGCACGATCAATTAATTTCGTCCCTTGTTTTACGCCGTCAACGACAAATTTACCGGATCATCGTCGCGTGGCCAGCAAATTTACGCGTTTTATCATACGTAAAGCCGAGTGCACGCGAATCTGTTTGGAACTTCCGTAATTGGTGGCCGATATGATGTGGACGAAATCGCAGCGATAATTGGCGCTCACGAATCTCGTTGGGTGAGTATAATTACCTATTGGAATATATATTATGGCCATGGCACAGTTTCTTCCTAAAATTGAACATGTGTGTATTTGAAGTTTAATACCCGTGTTTTCGTTACGTATTCAGCGCTAAATGTTGCCACCCTTTCTGTTTTTGAGCTTTATTTATCGAACATGGAGAACGCATTAAACGCATATATCGAAATGAATATAAAATGAGGATAATATCAGGCGACTGCTAATGTGCGGTGCATTTAGGTCACTCTTTCATGCCTGTTTTTTTTTTAACTCGATATCAAATTACATTATTTACTATATATGCGCGCGCGCGTGTGTGTGTGTGTGTGTGTGTGTGGGATAAACAATGTAATTTGATACCAAAACACATTGATAAAAAGATAAATTTATTAGAGTTTTCATACCTTCGATATACAATAATAAAACACAATGTATATATACAATATACATAATATATGCGTTTTATTATATCGAAAGTATAAAAATTTGATAGTTTATCTTTTTATTATTAGATTTTAATGCGTTTCAATCATAATACAATATAGTATAATACAGTATAATATAAATTACAAATTTTAAAGACAAATGGACTTCACATCTACAAGAAAAGAAAAAAGTTGAATTTATATGCGAAATTGAAAATTACTAAATTATTCCAGTTTGCTCTTAAAATATTCAGTCAGCATGCCAAGCAGACTCTTTCTATTTTCTCTCTATATTGTTCTTATATTCAAAGCTTGATTTTTTAAATGTGATATCCAGGACGACATTTCGAGGCAACAGCATCGACGGGCTATTTATTACAAACGTTGGGCCAAGCTCGCAGAATCTCCATTTTAAATGTAATCCCGCAAAAGTATACGGCTGCGGCTACGTGGTATCGATAATGGTAACTGTAATCAAGCCAGGAAGATGAAATTTGACCGATCAATTTTGAGGATGGCTGTATAATAAAATCGATGCTGCGGCCGCGACCGCGGTGTGCTTGCGACATTTCCGACACCGGAGATACTCTTTTAATTGAATTTTTATCCTTTTTTCCTGCAGGCTCGATAGCGGGACGTGGTCACATTTGAATATATAATTGGCAACTTTTTTTACCGTTTGCCCGTTTGATCTGACCGTATCCTCGCTTTATATCTTATGTTGGTGTATTTCCTTCCAACCGGTCGACCAATAAAATGTGATTTAATTCCGGTTTAAAAACGGAAAAAAGCGAAACACGCGAATATAAAATCGCTGAGAACATTAATGAAAATGTTGATATTGATATGTATTCGTAGCATCTCGTCGCTTCTTTTATTTGTTTACCTTTGTTTCTCTCTGTAAGTATTAATCACTGTATGGGCATATAGAATGAACGTATACCAATCTATATGCCTTTGAATAAAATATATACATAGCTTTCCAAAACAATTTTCTTTATATTTTATAAAATTGTTTGAGAAAATTATAATTAATCTGTACAATATAAAATTATTTCATTAAATAATTTCATTAACATAAAATTATTCAGCGAAAAACCATCAGAGGACAAATAACTTATAATAAATTTATATAATATAAATACATTGTTAAATGTTAAAAATTAAAATGGCTTGAAAATAAACATAAAAATAACATCTTTAATGTACATCAATGAGTTTTGTTAATGTTTATATTTATTATTATGATTGCTATGATTTCAAACTTTATTTAAAAATATTATTCAAAATTCGCAAGATGTTAGCAAATTTTTAGTTATTAAGATTCTTAAAATGGATATCATTGTAAATATTATAAAAAAAGAATTTAAATACAATATGAATACGATTTAATGTGTACCTATAAATACGTTATATATAATACGCGATATAAATTTAATGCAAAATATACACGTATATGTTATTTAAAAAAGTATCGGAATATGAGAACCACACAATTAATGTCTCTCTTTTACAAAAATTGTCAATTTGCGGAATATTGGGAATTACTACAAAATATTTTGTCTCGTCGCGCGAATTTTCCGCGACACACGAGTTTCAAATTGGAGCACGGTCCTTTTCTACACACTCGGCGAATAGGAATGTTTCATTCCCTGAATATGGGGAACGCGACGAGATGATGCAACTTTCGCAGAGGCTTTTACCGCGCCGCAAACAACCGTTTTCATTTAGCTTTCCCGCGACGCTAAGTGAATTTTGCCGGACGCCTTTCTTCCGTTCTCTTCATACGTATGTTCGAGCTCGTGATTCCAGTTGAATTTAATCTCTGCTTTTCATGAAATCCGGCCGATCCAACGCGTTTGCAAAAAAAAGAAGATAAAAAAAAGCGAGTGTGTGTATCGTCGCGG